AGCTGCCAGAGAGCCCCGAGACGGCTTCAGGAGTGGCCCAAGATGGCCCCAAGAGAAGCCCTGGAGTTCTGTACCAGCGGCCCCCCAGTTGGTACATAACTCCTGGGTCCCTCTTGGGGCCATCTTGGGCCCCTCGTGGAGCCGTCCTGGGGCCCTCTGGGGGCTTAGAGGGCCCTCGAGGGCCCTGAGAAGCACCCGACAGGGCCCCCAAAGGGCCCCAAGACGGCTGCAGGAGGGGCCCAAGATGGCCCCAAGAGAAGCCCAGGAGTTATGTACCAGCGGGCCCTCGGTTAGTACATAACTACTGGGCCCCTCTTGGAGCCCTCTCTCTCGGGGCCTTCTTGGGCTCCGCCGGAGGGCCCTGGGAAAAGCCCGGGAGGGCCCCAAGACGGCTCCAAGGGGCCCCAATACGGTCCCAATAAAGCCCCGAGATCGGTCACCCAGACGATTCCATCAGGGCCCAGAGATGGCCCCAAGACGGCTCCACGAGGTCGTCGTCACGTCGTCGTCGTCGTCGTCGTCGTCGTCGTCGTCGTCGTCGTCGTTCTTCGTCGTCGTCGTCGTCGTCGTCGTCGTCGTCGTCGAATTCCATTTGTTTTTTCCGTGCGGCCCCCCTGACCTGGAAACAAAAACTGAGGTTTTTTGCACATTGCGACTGAAAGCGCTTGTCGCGCGCATTCACCGCCAACGCGCCGAGGCAAGGGCTCCACCGCTAAAATGTTGAAATTCCTAGCGGTTTTTGACCCATAAGGGGGGGCCGCACGGGAAAAGCACATGGGAAAGTTGACGCCGTCGTCGTCGTCGTCGTCGTCGTCGTCGTCGTCTTCGTCGTCGTCGTGATGCCCCACGGGGGACACTGGGTAACTCCGATGTCCCACGGTGGGCACCGGGTAACTCATGCCCAGACCCCCCCCTGCAAGGTCGAGTTATCTGATGTCCCCCGGGGACCACAGGGTATCTCCGATGTCCCACGGGCCGATGTCCCACGGGGACCACGGGGTAACTCCGATGTCCCACGGGGGACACCGGGTAACTCCGATGCCCCACCGGGTGTTTCCGATGTCCTACGGGGACCACCGGGTAATTCCGATGTCCCACGGGCTGATGTCTGTCCCACGGGGACCACAGGGTAACTCCGATGTCCCACGGGGGACACCGGGTAACTCCGATGTCCCACGGGGGACACTGGGTAACTCATGCCCAGACACCCCCCTGCAAGGTCGAGTTGCCCGATGTCCCCCGGGAGACACCAGGTAACTCCGATGTCCCACGGGCCGGTGTCCCACGAGGACCACCGGGTAACTCCGATGTCCCACGGGGGACACCGGGTAACTTCGATGTCCCACGGGCCGATGTTCCACGGGGACCGCCGGGTGACTCCGATGTCCCACGGGGGACCATTGGGTAATTCATATCCAGCCCCCCCCCTGCAGGGTCGAGTTACCCGATGTCCCCCGGGGACCACCGGGTAACTCAGATGTCTCGCGCGGGACACCGAATCATGCCGAAAGCGCCCCCTGCAATGTCGACTTATCCGATGCCCTTCGGGGGGTACTGGGTAAGTGGGGGGCGTGGAGCGCACCCCCCGCTTACCCGATGTCTCCCGGGGGAAACCGTGTAAGTCATGCCCGACACCCCCCCGTGCATGGTCGAGTTACCGTGCCCAACACCCAACACCCCCCCCTGCAAGGTCGAGTTGCCCGATGTCCCCCGGGAGGCACCAGGTAAGTGGGGGGTGTGGAGCGCACCCTCCAGTTACCCGATGCTCCCAAGGGGGGGCGCCAAGTAACTCATGCCCGTCGTCGTCGTCGCCGGTCGCTGGTCGTCGGTCGTGAGCCGGAAAACAACTTGAGGCTTCGGATCCGTTTTGGGGCCTTCAAGGCCCCGAGGGTTCAGAACCCTGGGGAAAAGCAGCAACAAAACTTACCACCCCAGGTGGTCGAGCCCATGAAGTGCTCAGACCGGCGTTTCCGTATTATTCCTCATCATATTCTTCATCATTTCCCACGTCGTCATCACCACCACCATTATCACCATCATCGTCGTCGTCATCATCATCATCATGTCCTTGGAGCCCTCAGTCCTCAGGTCCCTGGAGCCCTCAGTCCTGTGTACTAGTTTTATTTCAGGGGTCGACCCTCCCAAGTTGGCCCAGGATGGCCTCAAGATGGCCCCAAGAGGGCCCAAACCGTCTCCGAACAAACTGGACATGGATGTCTAAATTGTCCGGGCGCCGTGGGACTCTCCAAGGTGCAGCCCGCTGCGCCGCCCAGAAGGAAACGATAGCCCCCCGCCGAAGCTTCAAGAACCGGCGGCCAAGACAATTTGGACATGGATGTCCAAATTGTGCAGGCCCCAAGAGGGCCCAAGACAGCCCCAGCCCCCGCCGACGACGGCGGCGGCGGAGGCGACGGCGGCGGCGGCGGCGGCGTCGTCGCCGTCGTCGTCGTCGTCGTCGTCGTCGTCGTCGTCGTCTTCGTCGTTGTCGTCGTCGTCGTCGTCGGCGTGGTGGTGGTCGTCGTCGTCGTCGTCGTCGTCGTGGCCGCCGCCGCCACCGCCGCCGTCGCCGCCGCCGCTTCCCGGGCGGTGCGCGCCTGCAGTTGTGGGAGAGGGATGGGGAATCGACACTCTGCAAGGTTGAGTTTCCTCCGCGACGACGACGACGAGGACCAAAACCGGCTCAAAACCATTCTCGGTTTCCGACCGTCCCCGAGCCTGAAAACAGCCTCCAGAGGCCGAACCTCATGAAAAACCTCATTGAAACTCGAACCTCGATCGCCGAACGACGGCGACGACGACGACGACGGAGGACGACGACGACGACGACGCCGACGACGACGACGACGACGGCGGTGGCGGCGGCGGCGGCGGCGGCAGGGGCGGCGGCGGCCACGACGACGACAACGACGACGACGACGACGACGACGACGACGACCGACAACGACGACCGACGACGACGACGACGACGCCGGCGGCGGCGACGACGCCGACGATGACGACGACGACGGCGGCAACGGCGACGGTGACGACGACGACGACGACGGCGGCGGCGGCGGCGGATGAGGAGGATGATGAGGAGGAGGAGGAGGATGAGAAGAGGGAGGGGAGGAGGATGAGGGGATGGAGGAGGAGGAGGCAGCGGGGGAGGAGGATGGAGAGGAGAATGAGGGGAGGGAGCTGCAGGAGGAGGAGGAGGGGCAGGGGGAGGAGGAGAAGGAGGAGGGAGGAGGAGGAGGCGGACGAGGAGGAGGAAGAGGAGGAGGAGGAAGAGGACGATGGCATCAGTGCTATGCACAAGAACTGCCAACATCCAGAGGTCCAGAGGAGGAGGAGGAGGAGGAGGAGGAGGAGGAGGAGGAGGAGGAGGAGGGAGGACCTTCCAGAATCTGGGGGCGGCCCAGAGTCTGAACAGCACTTTTTTCAGATATCCCGGATCACCTGGCCAAGAAGGTACGCACGACGGCGACAGATGCACGGGGAATGGACGTCCGAGCGCTGGCGAGGCCCCCCGGCCTCCCGGCGGGCGGGAGGGAGCTCGGCCTTGGCCCGCGCCCGCTCTTGCCTCGTCGGCGTCGTCGGTGCCCAAGCCCACGATGCCGAGAAGCGGCCCGTCGATGACCGCGCGGCCCGCTGTGCAGCGGCTGCCATCGACGAGGAAGCACAGACCCCCTCGAGTGCCAAAACAAAAACCACGGCGTTTCGTGTTCTCTCGCCATTCCCTGGGGCTGGAAACCAGCCCCAGGGAATGGACGGAGCACTGGTCCCATTCAGCAGAGGAGGAAGAGGCACCGATGCCGCGATCATTGCCTCGTTTTTTGTTTTTTGGGCCTCCAGGGAGGCCCTCGTCGCCACCGCTGGATTCGCCGCAGAATTCTGGTCCGAACGCTCCCCAGGAGAGGTCCCAGGAGCAGCGGCATCCGCACATTTTGGTCTCCCCAGTGTTGCTTTTGTTCCTGTGCCGGTGCGGTGCAATGCGGTGCTGCGCTGGGCCATGCGTGGCCATGCAGTCTTGCGACGCCGTGCTATGCCATCCTGTGCTGTGCAATGCTGTGCTCTTCCATGCTGTGCCACGGCACGCCATGTCATGATAGTCGACGGCATACAATTCTTCTGTGCCGTGGTGTGCCAGGCGGGACGTTGTATGCTTCTACGCTGTACTCAGCTTTGCATCGCATGGCACCTGTTCGATTTGATTTCGATGCCTTGGTACGAACTGGAAAGCGCATTCTGCAGGCGATACATCGAGGACACCTGAGCGCCGCGGCGCTACCCGCCTAGCCCTCAGGGGCCGAACTCTGTGTTCGCAGTGGCCTTCGTCCGTCCGTCCGACCTCGTTGCCTGCCACTGGGCATCTAGATCTCGAACATTCTGAGCAAACATGAGATTCTTGATTTGGGCAGAACCAGGATCTTTTTCTTATGGATCGGGGGGAGGAAAAGGAGGTGATGGGGGGGTGAGGAGGAGGAAGAGGAGGATGGGGGTCCTCCTCCTCCTCCTCCTCCTCCTCCTCCTGCTGCTCTTTCTCCATCCCCCCTCCTTTTCCTTTTGCCTCTCTTTGCATTCCTCCTCCTCCTCCTCCTCCTCCTCTTCCCTTTTGTCCTTTAAGTGATAATTGCATGCTACAGCGTTCGAGCCTCTCCCCATCGCTCTCCTGGTTATCCACCTTCTCCTGCTAACTATCCATTTCCTCTCGTCCATCAGTATGGGGCACCTGCAGGCGATTTGCATATAAAGTGCACGAACGCGTTCGGCACACATCCTCTTTTTGTTTTTCACATCCGTTGCTTTTAGCTCCCGCTCGTCCGCTTGCGCTTCATCACAGAGGAGGGTAATGGTACAGATCCACCGCCTCGTTTCTCCCCTTTCCCCATCCCAGGACGGGGGAGGGATGAGGAAGGAGGGGGATCTACATGAGGTCCTCGATTATTACTCCTTCTTTTCCTCTTCGCTCCCGTTGGGAAAGTTGCCCACCATTTGCCCTGTGGATGCCTCCATGGAAGGCAGCCGACCTGCGAGGTCTTCGAGGCCCACCTCCAGTCCCTCACCAAGGCGCCGCGCGCGCGGAGGAGAAGAAGGAGCAGGGAGGAAAAGGAGGAGAAGGGGGAGGTGGAGGACCAGAGTAAACCCAGGCCGCATCAGAGATGCTGCAATGCTCCCTCGCGTCCCAAGTCCCGTCCTTGCGCATCTCCTACCCTGAGTTTTCTCCACTTTGGGAAGCACCCCCCTTCGAATGACACGCGCCTGGTGGGCCTGCCACTCAATCGAGACCCCGTTTTTTCACAGATCGACCCTCCAGCCTTCAAAGCCATTGCCAACGCTCCCCTCGCCCTGTTTTCCCGCGCCGCCTATCCCCTCCAGCGTAGGGCTGGTGGCGCCTGTTATCCGTAAGAGCTTCGCCCCCTGCCGCCGGCCCCCTCTCTATCAGAATGGGATTTATCAGAGCTATATTGGGATGCTCGGGCGCCGTCTTGATGACATTCGGGAGCGTCATGCTAGGGCGGCTGGCGATGAGTAAAACAGATTGCGATGTTGAAGTTGTTGTTGAACGCTTTGTTGCCTTCTTGGCATTTTCCTTCAGTTGTTCACTGGAATCGCTCTGGGAACGGCTGGGGATTGCTTCAGGCAATCTCTGGGAAGGTCATTTGTTTCTGCTCTGGAGAAGGAGTGGCGACTTTAGGCAGCTTCCGCGAGGTGGATTCGTAGCGGGGGGGGTGCGCGCGAATTTGGTGTAGTTTGCAGGGGATCGTGGCCTCGGGGACGCGAATGTGGCGTAATTTACAAGGGATCGTGGCCTGGGGGACGCGACAGCGGCGTAATTGTCGAGGGATCGTTGCCTCGGGGGCGCGAATGTGGCGTAATTCACGCGGGATCGTGGCTTCGGGGGCGCAAATGTGGCGTAACTTGCGAGGGATCGTGGCCTGGGGGGGTGAATGTGGAACCCATCGCAGAATTTTCCAGAAACGTGGGGGGGGCAAAATAATACCAGCGGAGCACATATCCCAATACTGAAACTTGCATTTTTTTTCTGTTTTGGGGAGGGGAGCGCCTTTTCGGCAGCCTCCGCAAGGTGGATTCGTGGCCTCGGGGGCGCGCCCGCTGCGTAATTTACGAAGGATCGTGGCGTCACGGGCGCGAATTACAAGAGATCGTGGCTTCGGGGGTGCGACTGCGGCGTAAATTACTAGGGATCGTGGCCTCGAGGGCGCGAATGTGGAGTAATTTGCAAGGGATCGTGGCCTCGAGGGCGCGAATGTGGAGTGATTTGCAAGGGATTGTGGCCTCGGAGACGCGAATGTGGGGTAATTTACAAGGGATCGTGGCCTCGGGGGCGCGAGTGCAATGTAATTTGTAAGGGATTATGGCTTGGGGGGCACGAAGCAATCGTATTTCTACGTGTCCCAGACCCCCCCGAAATGTTGAGAACCCTCTGAGGGGACGCTAACCAGGGCCCTTTTCGGCTCCCCCCCTCGCACGGACAGTAACACTTTCTCGTAACAATGGAAATGGGAAGCTGGAACTGCTGCAGTGAGCAGCAACCTTAATCCTCGCAGCCGGATGGCCCCGCAAGGGGGCCGGCGGATCACGACTTTGCTCTTAATCTTGATCATTGCAGCCATGTCAGCTGTCAGGAAAAATCGCGCGCGCGCGCCCGCCCTCTGGTCGGCCAGCCGGCTCATACACACGATCCGATTACAGTAAATCCGCTAAGCGGACATTCCAGCCATGCCAACACGTTCCACACCACCCAAAGCACAATGTGGGACCTATTTGGAACAATGTTGCAGTACAGAGTGGACCACAAGAGCACCATAAGCTCTTGCCTAGGAATACAAATCTTGTTGATATGGGCATTCACGGGCAAATTCTGGTAATCAGCCGACGTGCTCACCACAAGGTTTCGCGACTGTGTCGCAAGTCCGAGGATGTTGGCGCCAAACTAACACGGAATGATGACGGACCCAAATAAGGTCCCCATTGATGGAAAAGGTACCGGGCCCGTACCTACCGTGCATGGACATGGTGAAGGACACCTGGGTAAGATGACCTTCGCGGCGGCGCCCAGTGACTGCGTCATTGGCGCTGCCGCGGGTCCTCCGCATAATCTCAGCAAGCCCGCTTCCGCTGACCGCGCAGGCCCGCCATCGAGCCATTGCGCGGGCCGCCCGGACACCCCGCTGGACGGTGATCCCGCGGAGGAGGACGACGCAGAGTGTTACGGGGGCTGGGTGCCCCCCCGGCCCCCTGTTACCGGCGTCGGTCAACCGGGCCTCCGATTCCTCCGTCTCGGACGGCGCTATTTCCGCATCGTCGGAGGTTCATGGGCTGGTCAGGTCAACGCCGCGTCTTTCCCACAAGGCAGGGGGGCGCCCGCCCTCAGGCAACGGTTCGAACATTTATGATGTTCGGCCGACGCTTGGGGCTGGGGGCATGAATGCAGCGATCGACGGACCCGCGGCTGAGGGGAAGTATGTTGCCGAAGCCTCTCGCATCGGCACATCCGCCGCTTCGGCGAGCGGCAGAGGCGAGACGTCGGATCTTGCAGAGGAATGCATCGCCCCCGCCGACGATGGCTGGGCTGGGGGATTCGAGAGGACCAGCGCGCAGCGCGCAAACGGTCTCGGCCGCCCCTCGAGTTGTCAGTGACCTCGCCGACAGGGAAACAGTGCAAGACGGAAGGGGGCCCCGTGTGCAAGCCGGGGGGTGACGAGGGGGTTTATGCCCCCGAGTCGCCAGTCCTTGCGATCCTCCCGCATGCGCATGACCGCTGGGACAGCATCGTCTGAAGCTCATTGCGACGGCCCGTTCTCGGAACGCGCTCGCTTGAGAGGTCCGCCCCCGCCGCGCGGAGTAGTCCCATCTGGCGCGCCCCTATCGTCCGCTCGCACTGCAATATCCAATGCGTCGAGCATGAGAACGCAAGAAAGCCCCGCGCCAACGTTGGGCCGAATTGCGCCAGTTCCCTGCGAGCGGTTGCCCGGGGGATCGCAGGCGGCGCGTGGAACCTGTCTGCCGCGAGTGCTCATCGGGCTGCCGCCTCTGCCATTTTCCATTCCTTTCGCCCAGGACTGTTTCCCGCCGGTTGCCCGCGATTGCGCGGCGTTCGGTGGGCGGGGGCGAGAAGAGGGGGGGGGGGGGGGGGCGCGAGGCGGCGTTCGCCGAGAGCAGCACTGAGCTGCCCCATGCGCGGGAGCAGCTCGCGCAGGCTGAACTCCGACAGCGAGCTGCCGCGCGCCTGCGCGCCGATGCAGACCGCGCTGACATGGCGCGGGCCCTCCGTGACATGGAGATGCGACAGCTGGCTGCTGCCGCGGAGCAGTCTCTGAAGTCATCGGATGAGCCGGGGGAGCTGCTGGCCAGCATGGCGGGGGCGTTTGTCGCGACCGAGAGGCGCGCCCTGGATCTCGCGCGGGCGCCGGGGGAGGATGGGGGGGGGAGGGGCGGGGAGGGGGGCGAGGATGGGGACGAGGGCGAGGGCGAGGACGAGTATGGGGGGGGAGGGGGAAGAGGAGCCAGCAGAAGGAGGGGGGGAAGAGGAGGGGGACGTCGCGCATGCTGTTCGACTAACCTTAACACATGCTAAACTCGCTTGCTAAGTTCACTACTTGGGATCCAAGAGCCGACGGCGCACTCGCTAAGCCCCATGCAGCCCGCAATCGAGCGTATATAAATGCCGCCCAATCGCGCCACCTTCGGCGGCCAGACACGTCGATTTCCGATTCGCAACTACCACTCAATTAGGACAGAACCGACGCAAGACATAATTCCGATCACGACGACTCAAATACCTTTCCAAGCTTACTGCGCACGGGCCGCGCATCCTACTCAGACTCATTGCGCGGACAACACCGACGAACCGCCGACATTCAACAGGCGCCAAACACTTGGATCTACCTCATCACTATGGACCTACGATGGCTAGCTTTGCTCGCAACCGCGCCCGCTAACCGGCGACGACAGTTGAATATCGAGCGATGGGTATGCTGCGCGCGACGCACCCGAGCAGTGCAACGGTCAAGTCAGCGAAACCAAATGACAGAAGACACGCCGCTTGCAACGACCAACTTAGCACAAATTTATGGGCGCAGCGAGTGCGACAAATCGACTGCGACAACGAGACGCAACCAGGCTTGCGATTCAAGCATCGGCCTGCAATTGCTACGAGTGTGGCCGCGCTTCCAAAACCACCGAGGATAGGGCAATGCGTCGCGCCAGGAAGCGCCCGCAAGCAGACGATATACAAACCAAACTACTTTGGAGCATTTGCTTAAGTTGCAGCGCGCAATTCCACGCGCGCCAAAGGCTGCTCACTCGCGTCAGGTACCGCGAGCTGGGCTGCTACAGACATTGCGTGCAGAAGGTCGACGGCGCACCAGCAAGCGAGTTAACATCGCCACGTGCGGGCGGGGACAAGGAGAACAAGGACAACCGCGACGCATGACTGCGACGCGACGCAGCTGCCATGCCCGTCGCCATGCCAGCAAATTGCAGACGTCGGACCTGGCAGAGTCACGCCGCCGCCCGCCGCGACAGCCAGCTACTTACCCACCGAAACACCTTTCAAGACAGAAACATAAAACGACGTACTGACTACTTATCTCGCAGCAGTCGAGGCGCTTCCAAGACCTACGACGTCGCCTGTGCACCAGCAGCGCCGCGCAACGCTGCGCTTGCATCGGCGCAGAGCTGGGCGACGCAGCAGCCGCAGACCTATCCGACTGGCATATGACAGAGACATGGGCGACCAACATCAAGCAAGGCGCAGTAGCAGCAATCGCGGCGCTCAACGACGACGCGAATTGACGCCGCAGGGGCCGGCACCGAAGCACGGGCAGCCACTTGGGCACTCAACGCCGACCTGCATTTCACCTGCGCAGGACGCGCAATAACAACCGCAGGATACAGGACACAACGCTACAGTATAACTACATTCGCACATCCCACCAGCACAACGGCCAGCTTGCTGGCAAAACAAGATGAGCGCCGAGCACAGCGCAGCGTCTGGAACATGCCTCAATTGAGACACCTGTATTCTAAGGCGCAGCGCTCGG